AAGAAATAAGGAAAGAAAAATGTCAATAAAACCTAAAAAAAATTGTGAGATTACTTTATGAATAAATTATATATAAAAAAAATCTCACAAAATTCATCTTTTAAAATAATCTATTGTAATCTATGTCATTTAATGTTAAATAAGTCTTAATTAAATACCCTTATATTTTAATGTATTTGAAAGAAAAAAAAATTGATTGTCCTAGTTTAATATCATAATGCTTTTTATATTAAAAAAATCTTAATTGAATAACATATGACTTTTTTATGATATTTTATTTTTAAATCCTTTAAAATCATGATACAATACATCCTATTTGTATATGTTATGCAGGATTGAATAGATTTGGTTAAACAGGTAAAAATAGAAGACAATGCATTTACTTTGCTATGCTTTTCGTGAGTTTGGGAGGGTTGCACGGGTACAGGATTAAGGACACACAACTCTTTTACCATAATTATTTATTCCTTAAAGCTACGCAATTATTACCCATTTGTTGCATCCCACAAATAGTAACCTCCCTTGAAACTTGGACTCCTAGTTGCATGGAACTCTCTATCCAGAAACAAGTTATCCAAGACATTCAATCATTCTCTATCGCTCAATTAGCCTTTTAAAACACCCTTTCATCACCATGCATCATTAATAATTGTCTTTTTTTCAAAACCATGGTTAGTTTGCCATGGCTTCCCCATCATTTCCCCTTCCTTTGGCAGCAATTTTATTATGCATATACTTTGTGCTACCCACTTTTGCAGAACTTCAGAGGCTCCAACATCACCCAAATCACGATGGGTCCCTCAGCTTTCTAGTAGTTGGAGATTGGGGTAGAAAAGGGCAATATAATCAATCCTTGGTTGCCGCACAGGTTCATATTCTTATGTCATTAATTGTAGTTTTTTTTTTAATTATTTGAAATGGTATTTTTTGGCTAACCTCATACCTTAATACTGAACATGGCAGATGGGAATGATGGGATACAAATTAGATATAGACTTTGTCGTATCAACAGGAGACAATTTTTACAATAGTGGGATAAAAGGTGTAAATGATCCAACATTTCTGTTGTCTTTTTCCAACATTTACACTGCTAAGAGCCTTAGGAAGCAATGGTATTCTGGTAAGTCAAATAATTCTAGCTTTACCAAAATAAACGTCTCTCTCAAGATATAAAATATGAGTAAACAAGGAGAAAAAGTGAAATTAAACCAATAATAACCAGTGCTCATGTTGTATCTTGTAAATTCTTTATTATTTATTATCTTGAAAACATGTCTTGTGCAGTTTTGGGAAACCATGACTATAGGGGTAATGCACTGGCCCAAATAAGTCCACTCTTGAGGAAAATTGACAAGAGATGGTTTTGCCAAAGAACATTCATTCTTAATGCAGGTATAAAAATAGTAGCATTTTCAATTTTCAACCTCTTGAACACTATTATTTCACAAACAAATCATATTTAAACATGGTTTTCTTTTGTTACTTTCTTTCTTTCCATAGGAGTAGCTGATTTTTTCTTCATAGACACAACCCCGTTTATAAGCGATTATTTCAACAATACCAATCATCATTATGATTGGCGAGGCCTGTTTCCAAGGCAAAAATATCTCGAAAATCTTCTAAAGGTAACAAATAAATAATGATCGAATATAGAAACAGGTCTTGCTAACCAGTGGCCTCAGGTCACTAGTTAAGGAATCTATATATAGAAAATTTTCATTGAAAACTGCAATATAGTTACATAGAAGAATGTGCATATATATATATATATATTTTTTAAGAAAAATACTCTTGATTCCTTAACAGGGCACTGATTAGCATTTTCTTATACTAGTAGAAATTAAATTACTGACTCTTGTTTAACATTTAATTTTGCAAAACTTTTATGACAAGGATCTTGATGGGGCATTAATGAAATCAACTGCAAGATGGAAAATCGTTGTGGGTCACCATGCAATTAGAAGTATAGGGCATCATGGTGATAGTCCAGATCTAGTAAAGCACCTTGTCCCAATACTTAAGGTATATATGAACATTCATTTTATATGAAGGAAATAGATATTTACCCGACTCAACTTAGATATAGATTTAACCGTCTTAACTTAGATAAGTTATGATATGTATGGTTTAAGACCAAAATAACAATCCAATAATTTAAATATATATTGTCAGTAATTTCGCCATGTTCCATTCTCTTGGTATACATGCCAACAATAATGTTTTCTTTATCTCATCACATTGGTCTATCTGCAATTTTGTGTTCTTTACTAGAATCTTTGCTTAAGATATTTTTGTGAATATCTAGGCCAACAATGTTGACATGTACATGAATGGGCATGATCACTGCCTTCAACATATAAGCAGCATAGATAGGTAAGAAGAAAAATGCAAGTCCCCTACTCGCATGTATTTTCATGAAGGAATTTCTTTCTTATACCAATATCACTATGCAGCCCACTTTTGTATTTAACAAGTGGAGCAGGTTCAAAGGCATGGAGAGGTGATGTTAAAGAAAACCACTCTGATCTTGTGAAATTCTTTTATGACGGTCAAGGTTTCATGTCTGTTCAAATGACTGAAACCGACACAAATTTTGCCTTCTACAATGTCTTTGGCGAGAACATACACCATTGGAGAGTGACAAAGTCGATGGTGCATTCTTCTGTATGAATAAATAGTACTCATGCAGAAGAAAATCTGTACATAATTTTATGTAGCCGTATTTCTACATAAAATGTATATTGTTTACCTTTTTCATGACTGATTAATAGTATAAACATTTTTGTTCTATTTTATTGTTGGGTATTAGTAGGAAAATACTAAATTATAAAAAAAAAATTCCTAATACAATATACAATAACATAATCACGTAATTATGAGTGGCGTCAATAGGAATGATTTTATTTTTCATGAATATAATTTACGGAGTTACAAAAATGATAACTAAAAATTAATTTATGTTGGTGAGACATTACTTATGCTAATCAAACATTATTTTAACATTGATGAAATCAATTTTAAAAGTATCAAATCAACTCTCTGTGTTTTAAAACAAATTTTACAATCACTCGACCAAGATGCTTGATTGACAATCATTATTAATATTATAAGCATCATAAAATGTTTTGCAAATAATAACTTCCATCACTTGGTAGCATTTAATAAGTGGGTTAACCTATCTAAGTCATATCAGCACTTGTTTGGATACATAAGAGTTCTCAAAATACTTATTCTTTAAAATTAACTATTAGATAATGACTAACCAAATATAAACATTTTATAGAAACCCTAAATTATATATTATCTCCATCTTATATACTGGTGAAGATATGTGATCATTGTTCTTTTTAGCCCCTTTTTATCTATTTTTTATTAATTATTCAACGATCCCAATTTCTAATTGAACACTTTATAAACCTACTCTGTCGCATGATTCCCATCTTATCATTCAAACCAACATCCATATAATTTTCGCTATCTTTCCACCCAACATAAGGGGGCATAATACATTGTTAAATTTTAAGCATGATGTATGTATCCACGTATACACTCTTCCACACTTTTGCAAAACAATCATTCCTCTTACCCAACACCTTTTATAAGAGAAATATGATAGTTGCAACTTGCATGTATCATGTTTATGGCAAACGTGGATTAATTATATAAAATTGTAGTTAGAGTTCTCAAATGGCATCCGAAGAAGCATGCAAAGAGTAGATGAATGTCGGTATATATAAACATAATTGGAGGAGCATATTCTTTTTATCTTTAAGTGAATGAAATGAATCATTACTACAAAAACAGCCTGATAAAAACAAGGTAGCCGATGACAACACGCATGTTTGGAAAACATATTTTAACGTAAACATAAATTATATACAATGAAACACTGGTGTTGCTTCTCCATTTTCTCTCTCGGAATGTATGTGTAAACGGTGTGTTTTAGATGATTCAAAGGGTAATCCAAACATGCCATGCATGAGTGGATTTCGCTTTGCACTCCACTTGTCCCACATTTGTCATCAACGATGATGGTACATTCTACCTGTGTCCAATAGTCTGAGGTGGGTTTGGACTTTGGACGTAGCAAAAACAACTCCATAGTCATTTATGTATCAACCAAACTCCCAATTTGTCAGAAACCTTCGGTAAGTGCAAAAGTTCGACCAGATAAACTGGAGGGCAATGCACTTACAGCTTGTTGAATTTCCTGAAAATATCATAAGCACCACCCAGTGCATTAGTGCCCCAACAAAAAAGGAGCAAAGATCCTCTCGATTCTTTTATTACATTAGTTTTGAAAACATAAATGTCACTATCCCTAAAGTGTATATCATCTTCATTTTATTTATTTTCTCAAAAGTTTAGAAAATGAAAGAAATAAATATAAAAAGAAATAGAGAAGATCCAAATTCACGAAAAAGCATCATTGAGCTAAGGATATATTTGAATAAACTGTTTCCATAAACTCCTCTAAGAAAAAAAAAAAAAAAAAGGAAGAAAAAACAAAATAATTTTTTTCATAAGCTAATTTGTAGAATTTTCTCATATTAGCTTATCTAAACAAATATATTTTAATATGAAAAACTTATTTTATTTTATTTTTTCAATTTTATTTTTTTCCTAGAAGTGCTTAAGGGAAAATTTATCTGAATAGATCCTAAACAAATACTCTGCAAGCTAATAACAAGCATCACAATCATGAGTTTCGGTATTAATTTGAAACATGGAAGGCATGGAACTTCCTATGACTAAACAGAAAGCTATACCAACCTTTTTCCCAGGATCACACTAACAAAGACCAAGACTTTTCGAGGGGTGATGTATCATTTTCTAGAGTCAAAAGCAAGAATGTTATACCTCTACTGTGTAACGTGCCGAAAAGTGAATCAAAAGGATTGCCCTGTTCTGCAACCTCTCAGCATAATTTATTATCTGAAGAACATTAATTAGAAAACAAACAAATGAAAAGAAACACAATTATAAAACCACAGATGAACATGAAACTACAGTGCCAATGATTGCAGCAGGTAGCATACCTCAGACAGATGAGTGTGTCCATAATCTCTGGCATGTTCCACAGTGATTGAATTGTTAAGAAAGGTGCACTATATGAACAAAGGAAAAGGAAAATAAAAAGGCTGTAAAACAATAATACCAACTATCAACACGAATTATAGGCAGGTAAAAACTAGAATCAGTTCACTGAAAATACAATACTACAATCCGACAGAGAATTAACTTAAATAGATATGAGATCCCTCTTTAACAATGGAGAATGGAGAACATGAATAAATAAGAAAAAGGCAATGCACTTGTTTCTGTTGTCTTACATATATGTATTCAAAATTCCTTACTCCACTACTTTCAAAGTCAAGGTCGTGTTTCTTGTATTTGAGGAAGAAGTATATACATATATACTAGCAAACCTTCTCAGTTACTAATCAATAATTCATAGCCTCAAAAGTATACAATAAAGTAAATTCACCTCCAAAACAAGAATCCTAGCCCGCAGGACATCAGTGTTATTTTCATCAATTATGAAATCTGACATGGTATCTCCCGTGAAAGCAATCTCTGGTTCTGTCAAAGTGTATGTTATCTGCCAAGAACCCAGCTTGGTTTAGCATGTAAAACCATATGATATAGATGAAACTTCTATACCAAAATTCAATGTAATTGATGCATAGGTTACAAATAAATTTTTAAGAACTATTAATTAAATAATACAATGTTGCAGAAAAGATCAATTTAAATTATATGAAGTAACATGGAAGCAGAAAACTCAACAGACAACTTTATTGGCCCGGTGTACAGCAAGGATGAAACCAACATGGCAATTTTAAATGTACTAATTTTTCATAATTATATACTGCATTGCATGAGGTCTGAAGTTTAAGAGAGAGACTAACACAATTATTTCATAGAAACATTGTATTCACACAATGAACACAAATTACAGAAACATTATGTTGAGCAGTTAAATACAAGCCATAGTGGTTTTTTATTCTGCTGCAAGTTCATTACTTTCTTGTCAGCAAAAGTAAACAACAGAATAAATGAAAAATTTATGTGCCTGTTAGTATCTCTTAGTGAGAAAGTCAGTTTATTTTTAATATCTGCTAGTTTGTTAGGGTGCGTGTAGAAGAATTGAAGCATATTGTCAATAAAAATAAAAAAAATAAAAAATTAATAAAAAAAAAAAGAGGAGAGATTGAACAGGGGAGTTATTTTTGTCATTTGTTAGGAAACTAGAGCCTTTAGAACTTGGGAGGTGCTGACCCTTATCTTTGTAATTGGGCTTTATCCCTATTTATTCCTAATAAAGATATCAGGTTTGTATTAGAAAACCACAAATTAAGTGTTAAAATTGGTTGAAACAGACAGAGAGATCAGTTAAATTTGCTAGATGTCAATTTCCAAATCATTGATTAGTACAATGGTTAAGACTGACCTCCACACCAGATGACTTCAAATTCTTTATTTCATTTCCAGTGAGGCCAAAATACTCTGGTTTAAGTTTCTGTTTTATAGAATATAGTATATAACCCTGCCAAGAAACATGCATAATAGTTAGGACCAGAAATCTTAATAACCAAAAGTTATTTTAAACAGGGACAATTATTGAACAGCTTAAGACTCAAAAGAAACATATTTTGCTGGCTGACTACCTGGCTAGGTATTACATGGTAAGTCCGGAAAGCTTTTACTTTAAGATCCTTTCTCAAATAAAACTCTTCTCCTGCAGTAAGACATGAATTAGCTACAGAAGAGTACCCGAAGAGAAAAGTGTTTAGTTTAAATGTGTAATTGCAACATTTTAAAATTGAGATCAACAATTACCTACATCCAAGCCAATCAAGTTGTGCTTAAGTTCAGATTGATCCATTTTTCTGTGAATCTCAAAAAGTTTCTCTACATCCTCTTTAACTGAAATTGGTACAATAATTGTTGGAGGCTTCATACGATACAAACCACGTGTGGCAACATACATTGGTAGCCCTCCCTGTCAAAAGTAAATCTGTAAGTGTAGGTCCTAAAATGGCAGTTCAACAACAAACAAATTCAGCCATACATTCATCAGATAAAGCTCCATATGTATAAATATTAATTAATTAATTAGTTTATGGGGGAACAAAAATGAAATTGTGGACTAATTTAACAATATTACAATATAGTATATGTGAATCAAAATCCCAAAATTGAATCTAATGCATGCATTTGCATTAAAGAAAGGAACTAACAATGTGATCCATGTGAGCATGGGAGATTAAAAGAAAGTTCTGGGAAACAGCTCGAGGTGGGCAGCGACCAATATCAAAGGCTACTTTAAGTGTGGGGAAAATTACACATGTTTCATGGCCTCCAATGGACAAACCTCCAACTGCGTATCCTTCAATGTCCAGATCCTTTGCTGTCTTTGAAGAAGAGTCCGAGCCTCGTATTTCTCTGACTGACTGCTCATTTGCAGGTTCCATGAACAATAGCTGATGAAAGAGCGGATAAAAAAAAACAAGGGTAAAATAATAAGAGGATGAAGAGGTTTAAAACAAATACAACAGAAACAAAATGTCTCATATATATATTTTATAATTATCAGTGCTTGCCTTAACAATAGGCAAAACAAAATCATCAAATATTATTTTTTAACTAAATATAGATTTTAATAGGAGCTATGCGATTCACATATTCAATAATTACACAATTTATTAATCATGAAAACTCTATCAACATAATTAAACATTGGGTTCATTTTGTTCCTGATCCATAGTATTCAAATGAAGACACGCATTTACAATTGTTATAGACACATGACATAACTGTCATTTTAGAGTTTCTAATACAGGTCTGATTTCTAAAGCAGTTATTTTCTACAAATAATTGTCCCTAATTCTCGGTTCCTATCATTACAGCTCGCTGAAAAATCAGACTTCACCCCAAGGCTGAAAGTTGGAAACTGATTCTTCCACGTTATCTTTATTAACTTCAATAGCAATTACTTCTCCATGTTTGTTTATGGCTTCATTATCTCCCAAAATTATCAAGTGGCCAAGGGCAGACCATGGAAGCATCATTACATGAATTGCATTCTCAGCCATTTTCTAGGTCTGCTTGTTGCATATATATGCTCTAAGCTCTACCCAGCAGGAGAATATATCAACCATTGTAATTGTGGTTGGCATTGTGCCACGTGTTTGGAAGCAAAAATGTACAGTGCTGTGGCTTTCACCATAGACCGCTTGTTAATCATATCTGTTTAATTGAACAGCCATGCTATATAAATATAGTTTCAAATAATCTTTGGACAAGGCTAGTACAAAACAAAACAAACCACTTCTATACAAAACAAACCCCCACCCCATCCCCCTTGTGGACTCAATATAATCATCAACCATAATGTAGGTTTTGGGGTTTAATGAGAAATTTTTATAATAATTGGTAGATAATGACCTCTCAACCATCCTAATATAATCATCCTAATTATTTTTTTTAATTTCATGATAGCTGCACAATAACTAATCAAACTGCACTTGGCAGATGAATTTCTAAGCATTTCAATCTCTTTTATTTAATTATTTACTATTAAGCCATTTCTTAAGGACTATAAATTAAGATCAGACAGCACTAAATACAGCCACTCTCAAGTAGCTATATCTCACTCTTCTTTCCTTCTTATTGAACCATTTTTACAAGTACGGTGACACCAGAAAAAAAAGCCTATCAACAACTTTAAATGAAGAATCTATGGCTCAAGTGTGAAATGAAATTGAGGGAATAAACCAATGTGGCGACTAACCATTAATTTTTATTATCTATGGCTCAGTGATTCAATGTGTTTATTCTGTTTTGCAGGAATTGGGTTTGGCAAATGAGATTGCCATGCTGGTTGAGGATAAAAGGATGTTGGAAAAATTACCAGGATTGGAACTGAGTGAAGAAACCAAGAAGCTGAGGCTCTTTCTTGACATATCCAGCTTCCCTAAAGCTACCATATCTCCTATTGTGGTGAACTTGGTCAAGTTCCCCAACCAAGTTGGTGCTATACAGATAAAACACCTTCAATTTGCTGAACTTGGTCAAGTTCTGTGGCAACTTCCATTTAGGAATTAGGAAACAAGTTAGAGGACAAGTCCAAGTACTCAAGGTTGGACAATTTATCAATCTCAGCAGCAACAGTGCTATTCAATAAGCAATACTGAAGTTGAAGCTGCCTCAGTTGCTTTAACTTTCCAATACTAGGTGGAACATCACCAGCAAAGTTGGCGGAAGTGAGGTTGAGATATTGCAAATTAACACCAAAATGATCAATGTCATGGGGAACCTTGCCATTAATATTATTCCTGGAGAGGTCTAGGTACTCCAACTAGGAGAAGTTGTAGAGGGGTGTGGAGAAGTCACCAGGGGTGAAGTTGAAGGTGAAGTCAAGGTGTGTTGAGGTTGGTGATGTCACAGATGAAGGGTGATGTTGGAATAGGAGAGAGTGAGGGAAGTGACTAAAGGATTGCTATTTAGGTTGGGATTAATTATGGTTGGTATTGACTAAAGGCTAGCATATTCCATAATCTCATTCGTAGATTGTTTTGCATATGATCTCAGCCAAACAACCAATTTCAGAAGACTTAATCAAAATAAAATAGTCAAACACATCCCCCCAAAACAACATTGATAACATCCTATAATTTCTTCCTATATATTAAAAATTTAAAAATATACATATAATTCCAGCTATCAGTTTTTCATCTTCATTTATCGTTCCAAGTGACTTCATTAATTTGCAGCATGTTATGAAGTTACATATATATATATATATATATATATATATATAATCAAATCATAAGAACATTTCCAATACTCAAATCTCATACTTCCCATTTAGTTAATCATATTACTCTGCTTCAAAAAGTAACATTTTTCTAGGAACCATCAGATCATAGATACGAAACAATGAAACAAGAGAGGAACAAAATAGATAAAATCATAATTCATAACTCAGATATATTCGAGAAGTGCTTGTTCTGGTTGAACTTGCAATGCATATATGGATTTGAAAGGCTACAACATGCAGGTAATCAACATCGAGCTCCAAGTTTAAAGTACCTTGGGGTTTTTTATTTCTCTTGTTCAGTAAATATATGCTGGTAATTGAGACTATAGTTTATGATAATAATTACTTAAAGTTCACCATAACTACAAATTACAAAATAGAAACCCCTTTTTCCAAAACAACAACTTTTACCACAAATCACCCTGTATAAACCACAATCATTTTCACACCACACAATATTCCAGAACAAGAAATCACCCTATCAAATGCCACTTCAGTACAACAGCTTGAAGAGGTAAAGGCACAAAATCCATAAAAATGGAAATCAAATTACAAAACAAATGTACAAAAGAAAAACTAGATTAGTGAAGAAATCATATATGAGATAAACCAAGAATAAAAGACGGAGGAAAACCCTATATTATGGAAGAAATCATAAATGATAAGAAATGCAGAGAGAAAATAACCAGAGAGAGATCTGAGGAAGCAGAATGTGAAAGAGAGCTCGAGCGAGCAAGTGAATGACACTAGCACGAGCAGCGAGCGAGGGACGTGACCGCGTGTGAGTGAGGGCCGGTGAAAATTTTAAAATTCTCTAATTTGAGTTGGAAATTAAAATCGCTTGTTTTTAATTAATTCAAATTTTAAGAAATGTTTGGTATGCATTTTGTATTTTTATTTATGTAAAAAAAAATAGTAGTGAAGAGATGGTGGTTTAAGTTTTGAAAAATATTTTTAATTTTTTCTTGTGATGGAAGGTAATTCTCATACTAAACAAAGCTTGTAGAAATAATATTAGTGTAAAGCAACAATAATAGCGTCTTTATTTGTTTTTCTTAATGATTTCAAGAATCTTCGTCATTAGTTATAATCGAAAGCATGATCTTGTTATCTTTACCATATTTGTGAGTTCCAACTAGTTCAAGCTATTAAAGAATAAAGCATTCAAATAAATTTTATCATTAGTCTTAATAAATAATGAACATTTAATGTATATGAGATAAACGGTATACTTCGTTTGATTCACATTGTCTCACAGATGATCTGCATCTTACACTTTGTTTGATAAACATTTTTTAAGATATTTTCTGATGCAAAAATGTTTCTTTTGTTAATATTAAAATTCCAAAACTTGAGGGATCCAAAATCGTCTTTTGAGTTAACATGGAAAGATATGAGAGTAATCTAAGCATGGAACATTAAAAGGCAACAAAAATGGATTATGAGATACTTTCAAGAAACCAAGGATTATAAGTTGACTTACATGCATATTGGTGCTTTCAAAATAAAAAGATACACAAATTTAGATTTTGGTGGATGCATAGACTTAAAAAGTCCACTTTAAGCTATATATTCTTTTTAGCCAAAGGTGTTATCTCTTAGAAAAGCAAAAGGCAAACATCATCTATTATTGAAGCATAATTCATTAGTTGCAATGAAGCTACATCACAAGCTAAATGATTGAAGAACTTTGTTTCTGGTCTTAAAATTGTAAACTTTATCCAAAGATCATTAATCATATTTTGCAACAATTCGCCTGTGGTATTCTTCTCAAAGAATAATAAGAGTGAAAGTCGAAGTAAGTATATAGACATTCATTTTTTAGTTGTTCTAGACGACATCAAGTGAGAATTAGTCTTTATAGAGTACATAAACATTGGATGATTGTCTATCTATTAACAAAAGGATTGTTAGCTAAGTGTTTTAGAAACATGTAATTCATGAGTCTTACAAGTTTATAATAATATTTGCTTTCTCTTTTATATGACATAGTGCACATTAAATAAGTCATGAATGGATTCAAATTGAATTAATAACCTTATATTTCACTAAGAAAATACTACACATTGTAATAGGTGGACGAAAATATTTAACCTAAAATATAACCATCATGATTTATGTGTAACTATTTTTAGTGACAATATCAAGCTTAAGTTGACATGTTATGATCATATTTGATTGTCAAAATAAAGATTATCATCAATAATATATGAGTCAAGTGGGAAAATGTTAGAATATAAACATTAAGTGATACATAATCATAATTGATGTAGTTGCGACAAGTTTTTAATTTCTTCATTATTGGCTTTTAATGGAGGAGCCAAATTAAAGGGATAGTTATTACATTTGAGTTTATAAAGGGATTTCTTACTTTACCTATATAAAGCATGTGATGCTCCATTAACTCACACAAATTCAGAAAAGGCAAAAACTAGAAGATTTCTCTCAATTTTCTTTTTCTTTATTTTGTTGTGGGTTTATTTGCTTGTGACAATAATGACTACAAGTAGACATGACAATCTAACCCGCCCCATGGGTACCCGCCCAAACCGCCCCGATTTAGACGGGAAAAATATGTGTTTACTGATTCGGGTTCGGATTTTTCTCGATTGGTAAAATCGGGGACGGGGATGTTAATACCCGCCCCGCCCCCACCTCGCTTAATAATATAATTAAAAAAAATTATATATATAAATCAAAATTAGAAATATTTATATATAAAAAGGTTCTGGAGTGGGGGCGGAACGAGGAACCCGAACCCCGTCGGGGACAGGGATGGGTACCCAGATTTTACTCCCAACAGGTATCGGGGGCGAGGGCAGGGACAGTTTAAATCTGCGGGGGCGGGGGCGGGGAACAAAATACCTCCACCCCACCCCGTTGTCATGCCTAACTACAAGTGAATGTATATTTTCATATTATATTCTATAGTTTTTGTTCTTACTTTGTAATTTGTATCAAGGACCAATGACTAAGTTATGGATATTTTTATTGTATTCATCATGGAGGTTCGACAATGAAAAGAGCAAAATGATTGAAGAAGCTTGTATTGGAATTTCTTCAACATTAGGGAGAGTAACAAAGGTAGAGTATGTATAAATGAAAAATAATTTATAGGTAAATCAACAACAAAATGAAAAGAAAAAGGTGATGGATAGAGGAAGTTATGACAAGGCTAATATTGAATGTTTCTATGAGATGATCTAGTGGTGAGAGGAATGGGGTTTGTAGAATGCCTCATCCCATGGCGTAGATGGGGTAATCTTTGTCCACACTAGACTGATGTGTTCTAGCATAACAAAGATACCTCACGTCTTTGACATATCCTGAAGGTAGGGATGTCAAAAAAACCTATACCCATATGTGCGTGGGATAAAATCCATGATGGCTAGAAAATGATATAAATGGGCACCCATAGGTAATGGGTACAAATATATTTTATACCTGCATGTTAACAAATGTGGGTACGAGTATCATAGTATCTGTATGTGCAAATATTCGTACTTGCTAATATTCAATTCACTAACCTTGTAATGAAAAAAAAATATAATGTAATATAGATAGAGGAGGGTTTAAGCAATATTGATAACTTTTACTAAGTATTACACCGCTCAATAACTTTATATTAAATGTGAATTTTATAAATCTAACTATTAGATTGAAAGTTCTTTACTCTTAGATCATATATACAAAATTTTATATTAATCAATGATGATTTAATACTTCATTCTTATAAAATAAAATTGACATAATATACACTTTCAAAATATAATAAAATATGAATACTTTGATTACCTTGAAGTTGTTGTTCAATTTTAACAAAATTTAATATAAACATATAAAGTGATATGAAGTTATAATTCATCGGTTAGATTTGTAAAATTCATATTTAATATAAAATTATTGAATAATATAATACTTAATAAAAGTTATACTGGTATTATTTGAATCCTTCTCATATAAATATATTTACTATGTATATTATATAATTATATGTAGGTATAAAAAAAATAGAAAACGAAAGGGACAAATGGATGCAATGATGTGATGCATTGAACCGGTATTGTTGTGCTTGTCATACGTAAATAATATAATAAATAAAATCTGATTGTAAAGATAAAATTCTTCTTATCAAAAACAATAACTTGGGGGAGAAATTCTTAGCTATAAGTAAATGAATCCAGTGAAATCAAACTAATCGGTTATAATGTAACCAAAAATCTAGAAATTACAGTTAAAATGAAACTAATATTAATCATGACTTAAAAAATTAAATAAAAAATAAATTGTGCCTATAAACAGGCAGTAGATCTTCACTCAAACGGGGGAGAAAGAAAGGTTACAAAATTTCATCATACTGGGAGGTTCTATTGTTCTATTTTACACGAGGGTTTATATTATTTTGCACAAATCAACCATTTATTTCACCACACTTCTCTTATTATCAAAATTCTTAAGGGAAAG